CAGCCTTCAGAAATAACACCCCCCCAAAAAAAGCTTTTTATTCCTTTTTTCTCCTAAAAAATTATCTCCCACTAATATTGACTAAATCTAACCAACCAAGTGTATTACCTATAGTTTTCAAATGTATCTGGATTTTTTTAAATGGTAACTCAATTAGTGATTTTAAAAAATTGGCAGGGCACAGTGGCTCATGCCTGTAATCCTACTGCTTTAAGAAGCCAAGGTGAGAGGATCACTTGAAGCCAGGAGTTTGAGACCAACCTTGGCAACAAAGTGAGAGCCCATCTCAAGAAAAAAAATATTTAAAAATTAGTCTGGTGTGGTAGCAACTACTTGGGAATCCCAACTACTAGAAAGGCTGAGGCAGGAGGATCACTTGAGCCCAGGAGTTTGAGGCTCCAATGACCCATGATTACATCACTTTACCCCAGAGTAGGTGATAGGCACCCTGTCTCAAAAAAAAAAAAAAAAATTAAGATGACAACTTCAGGATTCTTTTCAAGGTCATCTTTCGTTAGTAAAGAGTATCTAAATAAAGATAACCATTTTTTCCTTTCAAATAGAAAAGATTAAAAATGACAATATTTAGAGAGTGTATTTCATAGACATACTTTATGACAATGATTCCAATTAAATAATACTAACTGAGCTTCTACAATATGATAGCTTCTTAATCACAATAAGATAAGGTTACTACCATTCAGGAAATAAAATTCAGTAGGTTATAATGATAATTCATAAACTGTAGTTGAAACTTACATCTTAAACTACTGAGAAAGCATTATAAATTATGAACTGCATTACTGTGCTTCAAAGGTAGGTAGTTATGGGGTCAAAGCTCTACTCAGCTATTTCCCAAGTGATGATGATCAGGTTACTAAATATCACTAGATCTCAGCTTCCTAACCAGTATATTGGGGTTAAAAATAGGGAACTCATAAGGTTATGAAAACTAAGTAGACAATCCATACAAAGTGTTTCTGTAGGGGGTCTAGGTACTCATAACTATTGCTTTAAAAATCCAAGGAACAGTCTGTGCACAGTGGCTTACACCTGTAATCCTAGAACTTTAGGAGGCAGAGGCGGGAGGGTCGCTTGAGGCCAGGAGTTTGAGATCAGCCTGGGCAACATAATGAGACCCACATCTCTACAAAAGAAAAAAAAATAAAATTCAAGGAGCAGAAGACATATCCAAGTAGCTTATTCTATAAAGGAAGAACAATGCTTTCCTAACAATAAGATTGATACACTTGATAAATAATATAGCAATCTAGAGAATTTTAATAAATATTATTTCTAATGGTCCTTTTTTAAAAATACAAAAAGTCTTAAATTTAGTTTTAAATAGAGAAAATTTTCTACTGATCACAGGAGCAGAAATTGAAATGCTAAATATTGCAACCTAATAAAATAAAATTTAAAAATTACTTCTTTTTCAAACTATTGTTTTTCAAAGGTCAAACAAAATTATGGGAAACCTTCACTTTTAAATAAATGATATACATGGGTCATTTGAAGAAAAGCCTAGAATTCATCCAGAAATGGGGATATTCAGAGACTCCAGTTCTTCACTTTAATGCAGTGGTAATTCTACTTGAGGAACATAATATTTGAAGAGGAAAAACTATCAGAATTAATCAAAACTGTCTATTTAAAATGTGAAAAGTTGTTATATGAGGATATTTTTTATTATCTCTCATTATGTTAATCTCCATGAATCATGTATAAATATAGCCAACTTGAAATAAGTGCCTACCACAAGACCAGGGAAACAATAGATTCCTTTGTTCCAATCCTATCTTACTAATTTTTAGACTGACCTTGAAAAGACAGAGTAATTTCACCTTTACAAGATGGGGATGAGACCTTAAAAAACATTTTGAGGAAGACACGTCATTACCCAATAGAAAGTTAAAGACAAAAACTTTGTTCTCTTTATCAACAAAATCATATTGCGTTAAATTGCCTCAAACGAAGAAACAACATCACCACAGAGAAGAGCAGGGAGAAGACACAGAGAAAACTAATTTGAACTATTTCAATATTTGGATTACCTTCTTATATGAACACTTACAACTACTAAATGCTGCAACTTAACTGTCCCATAGATACAAGTTATAAAAGCTTGATTCATCCTCTTCCCAGATTACTTGACCCTTTCTTTAGGTAAGTCTGAGTTTGCCATTTAAAACAAGTCTTGCAACATTTTTTAGAAGCAAAGCAAAACATTCTGTAAATAGATCAACTATTATGCTTAGTAAACATGCCAGAAGCATTTCGAATGAAAACCATGGGGACTGTAGGGGCAGTACAAAGTGTTCAAGAAGATATTTTTTTTAAAAATTGACACTAAAGTCATAAATCATGTGCTTCTGTGACATGAGAGTCACCTCAAGCAAATAAACATAAAATGTGTGGGCACAGTGTAAGTTGCCACGTAATGCAAAGACGGAACTGGTAGCGGCTGCAAAGGAATGATTTCCATTGAAGGAGTAACTGTGAGCACAGGCAAAAACGTACTGTCAAGCCACTTTCTTTTCCCTCACATAAAATGTAGCAGATTATGTCTGCAAAGCAAATTCCTCTCATCCTATATAACCTCCTTTAGTCCAGCCATTATTGAGTAATTCCAAGAGGTGCAACCTGAAAAAATATCATTATGGAATAAAATAATTTCAAAGCTAAAAAGGGTCTCCAAATTTCTCTGCTGTAGTAGTTCTTACCCTCTTTGGGGTCACAGATTTCTCGGAGAAGTGATGTAAGCTACACACTCTCCTCAGAAATGAACATAAGGCATATGAAGGCAGCACAATTCTGAGCTTCATGTGTAAGCATTTGAAGTTTATCAGTCCTAGATTAAGAAATATTGATCACGTCCATGTTCCTTATTTGAAAAATCAGGAAATTGAATGCCGGACAGACTCAGTGATTTGTCCAAGGCCACACCCAGGCAATAGTGGAGCTGGTATTAAAACAACCCAGTATTCCTGACATCCATCAAGATGCTCTGCCCCACCATTCTTTAGAGAAAGGCCGTGATTATCTACATCCATAAATCTCAACAGTCACTCATGTTGCTGTTAGAATAAATGACATTAATAAGTTAGGACAGAAACACCCCACTTCTTTTCAGACATTAAAAGACACACAATAAGCAATATGGCCTAAGCAGTCTTGATACTTCTACATAAATCACTTTTATGTAGGTGCTAACTGGAAACATTAGGGTTCTTACACCCCATCTCCACAAGTTGAGATTCAGTATTTCTGCAGTGATGCCCTTAGAGTTGAACCTTAAATAAGTCCCTAAGAGACTGTGATCTGCTGGTTCTAAAGTAGTGACCTACTTTAAACAAATTTTGAAGATTTGTATTAATCTGGCATCCTTATAAATCTATACAACACAAGTGATAACTAGTCATATTAGGAATTGAGATTAAAAAAGAGTCAAGACATTTTGGCTTCTAAACTTTGACAGAAGAGACCATCTAGAGCAATGGCTCTTAAACCTCCTTTCAGAAATTTGTTAAAAATATAGATATTTGGACCCTTTCCTCAGACTTATCAAAGCAGTTTCTCAGTGTGGGCCCAGGCACCTCTCATTTTAATCAGCATAACAGGTGATAGCGATGCTCACTGAAGTAAGGCACATCATTTCTTCTTCACTCATCCAGCAAACATTTAATGAACACCTTCCACTAATATGCACAAAATTTAGATTTTAAACACATACTGTTCTTTTAGTATTGTTTCTTGTATCACAAACTAACAAGCAACTCAGGGAAAAAACCATGGTCTGTTTTTAAACAGTATGATTTTAAAAATACTCCCTTCTCACCCTCATCCCTATACACATATCTATCGGGGTATACAGCAGGCAACTCTTGCATGACTTTGCTCACAGTTCCCTCAAGTAAGACATATTGATACATCTGCTGCTGCTACACAGAAGAATGCTTTTAAACATGAACTCTCTGAGTCCTAAGGAATTTGTATAAATTGTGTCTGTGTGTTTCTAATTCTGTATTGAGGCTAAGCTAGCAAGACTTCAACCGTGGCCTTAAACTTCTGTTTTGAAGTTCTATTATAAACCCCAAATAAAACATATACACCAGGAAATATATATCGAGAGGAGGGAAGATAGAGCCCCTTCTACTCCTTATCCTGTTATCTCATCAAATAAGCTTTTCATCCTTTTCGCCATATCACAACCCTCATTTCTTACCTATTCTCAAATCACTTCCATTCTCTAGTCAGTATTTAAATAACCAGGAAATTTAAAAATTGCTTCTCAAACTTTGTTTATCCTGAAATCATACATGGTTCAAACAAGCATGTAAGATCTCCTCTAGATCGTGAGGGTTGGGAATGATGCATTCCAGATGTGCTATGCCTTCACTGTGTCTTCATCTTGAAAGAAAGCATCTGGAGAAGCATAGCATGGAGCTGGCAGTGACTTAAGGACAGCAATGCCAATGGCTTTTGCTGAGGGAAGAGTTCAATGTGACAAACCAGGGAGATGAGTCCCTTCAGCATGTGGGCAATGAATCACTTCTCTATGTTCCCTGAAGGAGGAAACACCCATTGACATGTGACAGAGTCTTCATGCTGATAGAAAGGGGAAATAGCCATTTCAGATCTCCTTTCGTTAGGCTTTTTAGAGAAGAGTAGGAAGGCACGTGAAGGGGAAATAGAACACACTGGGGAATCCACTGGAGAGATTATGGGGAACAAGCTGGGAAAAGCCCATCAGCACACAGTGAACTCTCCAAGGTCCTTCACTGCCTATGAAGGAGAAGGAGACCAGCAAAGAAGTCACTGCAGTGGTGTGCATGACCTTAAATATCTCCCTACCTGTTTTCTATAAACCCTTTATAGTAGCCCAGTGATTCCTTTCCTAACCTTAGGAAAACAGTACGTTGGGGCAAGAAAAATCTAAACCTTTGATCAACAAGCACAGGAAAAACAGCCACATTCACTGTAAAGCATTCCTTACTTACCAATTTAGTGACGTCTTTTACATTATTAGTCACACGATTCCCGCAGACCCCTTCAGTTTTGACGAAAGGATTAAATAGGAACAGTTGAAGATAAATGCAAGTGAGAATCCAAGTCTAAATAAAAACAGAAAAATTGCTTGGTGATCATCAGTTAAAATCTGTAACCATTAAAACTTTTAACATCTAATGCCTTGATGCACAAAAGGCCAATCTTAATATATGTATTAATATCTGTCTTTAATATGTATATTAAAGTTATTGGCTAAAATGCAATGAAATGCTACACATTCAAGCTATGCTCACCAAAGTTTTAAAAATTTTTGGTAAAATCTGTTTTGAATTATTCCCTCAATGACAATATTGTGAACCTTTGTCAAAAACTTTCTGCAGCCAGTTTCCCATGGCAATTAGGAATAAACTTGTAGTAGCATGTTAAAGACTGAGCACTTAGGGTGTCTTCTAAAACTAGAGAATGCATAAAATTTATACCTCATGGCACCAAAGGAAACCTATTTCTGCTTTAAATGTAGACTGCTTGGCAATTAGCAGCATAATCCCTGAGCACTGGTTTAATAATCTGCAATATAGTACACTAAGTTCAAGTGAGAAAGATGCGTATTTTAAGATCTAAGACAGAATTTCACTTAATTTATGAGACATCAAAAGAATTAATATTTTGAAACACAGCTTTTTAGCCACTTAAGGAAAATAGTTACTTAGCCAATAGGAAGGCATTCTGAACCTTAGTAGACAGTAATCTGTCTTCTCTTTCTCTCTCTCTCTAACACATATAACCTACACATCACCTTGAAAATAACATTTTTTATCATGTATTATAGTTGTTTTTATGCATGACTTATTTTTCCTTATTACACTATATTTAAAATTTCAAGAACTTGTACATCTGATTTATTTTTGTAGTATCTTCATAACACATAACACAGTGCCTTGCACATAAAAAACCCTTAATACATATTTGCTGGGTGAATCAGTGGTCAAGGTAAAAATATATTCTGATGTTCAAACTCAATAACCATTTGTTGAATATATATTATGAGACAGGAACGGTGCCAGTCACTAAGGTGACGTAGATGATGAAGATGCCCTTGAAACTCAGAGGCAGGTAAATAAAAAACACCCACATCTTGTGATAAACACTTTGGGAACAGAGAGAAGGAAGAAATTAATCAATTAACCTTAAGGGGGAGAACAAGTTGCAGGAAGACAGTGCCAAGAAAAGCCAGAGAGAAAATGTGACTCAGGCCAGATTTAGGAGAACAAGGAGGATTTGCAAGGGCTGACAAAGAAAAGATGAGTGTTCCAGGAAAAATAAACTGTATGACAAACCATGTAGATATGAAGATATCTTAAAATATGTGAGAATTATTTTATGAGCTACCATTCTTCTGTAAAATCTTTAAATTACGCAAGAGTCCAGATGCACATGGCTAGAAATCTTCCCTATTTACATAGCTAGCCATATTTAAAATGAAAGATTATTATTTTCAATTAATAGCTGCATACTAACTAGATATTACACTAGAACAAATGATTATCATTCTGAAATTTCTAAAACTACAATGCTAAGTATATGGATATAGTAGTTTGTATTCAAAATTAAAACCCTGTTATTCCCTTACCACATTGTCTATTTTAGCAGTAATCCTACATAATTCTATTTAAGGCTACTTTGAGCACTGTGACATCACATGCTTCATAGTATCATCCTTCTTAGACCACAATGAAGACTAAGTTGTATAAATCATTTCTGTTTGAGGATTCCTCTTTTTGGACAGACAACCCCTACATGCAGACTCTCCCCTAACAACACAGTTTTCCTTCACATGTGTAAATACAATTTTTTAAACGTAGCTTTCTTTTATATTGTCATTGCTAAGACATAACCTCCCTTGAAATATATTTCTCTAAAGGCCCTCTTTTCTGATGTGATTTGGGAACTTTCTCTAAGGATCTCTGTAATGGACCAATCTTAGGAAGGACCATAATCATATTCTTGGCTCAAAGAAATGTAACAGCAGAAATTCTGTTACTGGTCTTCACGATGCCTTAGCCTGGCATTGAATAAACACTAGAGAAACATTTGTTCACTCATTCATCTAACAAGTATTTATTGAGCGTCTGGTGTATACCAGGCATTGTTCTAGGTACTAGGCCTATAATGAACAAAAAGACAAAAAAAAAAAAAAATCCTGCCCTTATAAGGCTTAATCAACAAACATAAGTAACCAGGTTATACAGTATGTCAAAGGGTGTTGAAAGCTATGGAAAAAAAGATTAGAGCAAGGTAAAAGGGATTGGGATCATAATGCCTACCCTGCCTTACTGGCAGCAGTGATCTTGGGTTCAGATTGACAGTCATAGTCATGAGTCATAGGAGGTTTTGCCCAGCACTAAGTGTACTATTGAGCTTTAAACAAGGTTAAGTAATGAAAGAACACACACAGCACCTGCAGAACAGGCTCCCAGGCCATCTCTAATATCAGAAAGTCACTGAACACTTAGAATATGTTTGGCAATGGCAGGTGATGTTGGGTAGGCAGGACCATTCCTTCTACTTATGCATTGTTAGTTGAGCAGTTTTTTAGGGATGTGGCATGAACTTCTACTCATCTTCTAGGACAGCTACCCCAACCAGTACTGGTCTCAAAAATAAAATATTAATACATATCAGTGCATAACATGTGCTTGTAATAAAGCACACATCAGTGCCTGCTACTTAGTAACTTCAGCTGGATTCTCTTAGAGGAAGTATATATGTACACCTAAAAGTTTCTTGAGTTCTTGTTGCAAGAAGGCTTATAGGTAGGGTCAAGTCTCCAGGCATCTGAGTCCAGAGAAGAGCCACAAAACTAACCACACTCTTTTCTTTCCAAAGATTACAGTATATGCGGAAACAGCTTGAAATTTTTAACAGGGTAATAGTGATAAATGTCTCATTGAGAACACAAAATTTCACCAAAGATTGGACAGAGCTAAGGCAGTGATCCACACAGACATCTGTGGGAAGAGTACTGCAGACAGAGAGGAGAGCTGGTGCCAAGGTTCTAAGGTGTATTTAAGCATCTGTTATTTAAGACATAGCAAGAGTAAATTAGAGAGCAGTAGATTATCATGTTGTCAGTGAGACAATAGAGAGGCCAGATCATGTAGGGCATTGAAGGCCATTACAGACATTGACTTTTACTGTGAATAAAATAGGATTAATTGCAAGATTTTGAGCAGAGGAGGAATATGAACATACTTCAGAATAAAAATAAATTCATTAATTAAATAAGATCAGTCTAATTGCTGTAATAAAAATAGACTTTAGAGTGACAATAGGTAGAATATGAAACAGACAAGTTAGGAGGTTGTTGCTGTAATCCAGTCAGGAAAGGGTTATAATAGTACACTGACTGAAAATGGTTAGATTCTGAAGGCTGTATCCAGATAATTTACTGACAGAATATGATTTGAGAGAAAGCATCGAAGGCGACTATGAGGACTTTGGTCTGAACAACTAATTGGAAAGATGGTGTTGCCATCAACTGATATGGGGAAGGCTGGGGGTAGAGAAGGTTTGAGGGCATATCAAGAATTAAGTTTGAGTATGCTAAGTTTAAGATGTTTTTGAGATATTCCAGTGATGATGCAAGGTCAAGATACTTAAATCTAGACTTAGGAGGGAAGTTTGGGCTGCAGATATAAATATGATAGCCTTCCATATATAAGTGGGTTGTTAAGCAAAAGAGTGGATGAGATCACCAAGGGAGTGAGTAAAAGTATAAAAACGAACAAAGGACTGAGCATGCTGTGGTGCTCTAACCTTAAGGGATCTGGCAGAAGAGTTTGAATTATAAAAGAGTCCAAGAGAGCAAAGCAGAAAGATCATGGAAGAAAGTCAGGTTTTTTTAAAAGTACTTAAAGGAAAATAGTGTCAAACTATGTCAAATGCTGGTTATAGGTCTAGTAAGACAAGGACTGAGAACTGACCACTGGTTTGGCAACATGAAGGTCATTGGTGATATTAACAAGAGCAGTTTTATTCAAATGGTATGGGAAAAAGCCAGTCTAGGGTGGGTTTAAGAAAGCAAGAGATGAGACTAACCAGAAGCAGTATAAATAGCTCTTTGTTTGTTTGTTTGTTTGTTTGTTTTAATAGCTCTTTTGAACAGTTTTCCTTCAAAGGAGAGCAACTGGATAAACAAACACATCAATAAATAAAACCCAGATTGGGTAGTAGCTAGCAAGAAACTGGGGGTGAAGAAAGTCTTACTTGAAAGAAGGTTAAAATACCAGGATGTGTATATGCCTGTGAGGATGATCCAGTAAGAGGAAGCAATTGGCAATATAGGTTGGAAGAGAGGGAACTGCTTGGGCAGCAGCCGTGAGCAGGAAAGAAGGGGTGAGACTTAGTTCTCAAGTAGAAAGTGTGGCTTTATATAGGAGTACAGATAGTTCAGTGCAATCAGGCAGAGTGCTGGAATGAGAATGCAGATGCTGGCGGTGTCTTGGGAACAATTCCATGAATAGAGCTAAAAGTTATTGAACATTTACTATATACCAAACATCTTGGATATCTAATAACAAAAAAAAATTAACTTTCATATATCCTACTTTTAAAGATGAAGCAGTTAAGGTACAGAGAGGTTTGGTGACTTCTGAGTGGTGAAATCAGTAAGCCCAGGTCTGTCCAATTCTAACTCCTGTCCTTTTAGCTACCCTACATTGTCCAAGAACTCCCAAAAATCTGTTAGATCATTTGTGAAAACTGTGATGCAATGGCACTAAAACTTTAATAATTTTGCAAATATCAAGCATATGGAGACGTCTGTTCCATATTGCATGCCACAGCTGAATATTCTACATTACTCAAATCATCATAATTTTTAATATATGTCCTTTGATAGTTTCTTAAAATATGTCTACACAGACTGCTATCATAATTGAAAAATTATTTCATCAGGGCAACATAAGGTTTTTGCATCAGTTAAATTCAAATATCTTACAAAGATATGATTTTTCTCATTTTATAAAAATCTGTGGGGTCAAGGCTAAAATTAAATCTCTATGTTAGCTTATTAACATTCAAATATCTATGAAAAACCTCTATTTCTTACTTTATTTTAAAGCTATTATAAATAAATTCATATTGTAATTTAATTTTGCATATACTTTGCTACCATTAAAAATACCTACCTTTCATAAAATTAAAGAATTCATTCTGGCATAGATAACTATTAGGACAGAGGGGTAATCAAATTAGAAATATTGAGAATTTTGCAAAGCATAATGACACCTCCATCAGTATACTCAGAAGAGGTAAAATGCAGAACTTACTTCTTTATATAAAAAGAAATTTTTCAGCATTAATTATTCTACACAGAAGTCTTTCTAATATTGTTCACACATTTTGATTACTTACACAGTGAATTGAAATATTAAATGTTGCTTTTCCTTGATAGTTCAGATTTATCAAATACAAGGAAGACTCGCAAAGCATCTCAGTTATGTAGTATAACGTTCCTTCTCCAAGTGGTCCCAAACTACTGTACTTGTTTGTATAACTTTTTAAAATTTATTTTTGGTTTCATTTGTTTGTTCCTTAGTTTTTCTGTTTTCCCCAGATTGTCAGGTCATTACTTGCAACATATTTTTACTGCTAACATGCCTATTTCTAGTCTCCTGTACTCTTGATGATGAGCACAACACATGTCCCATATGGGAGCTTACAGCAGGAAATATAATGGCCCCAAAGATGTCCATGTCCTAATCCTTGAAACTTGTGACTATATCACCACATATGGCAAAATGGACTTTCCAGACATGATTAGGTTAAGAACTAGAGATAAAGAGACTATCCTAGACTCTCTGGGTCCAATCTAATCCCCATGGTCCTTAAAAATGGAGACTATTTTCCAGTTCTGGTCAGAGAGAGGTGCAATGATGGAAGAAGGGTCAGGGAAATGTAACATGAAAAGGAGTCAACACATCCTTGCTGGCATTGAAAATAGAGGGAAGGGACCAAGAGTCAAGGAATGTAGGCAGCTTCTAGAAGCTGGAAAAGAGAATGAAATAGGTTCTTCCCTAGAACCTTTGGAAAGCAACGCAGTCCAACTAATACTTTGATTTGAGTGAGCCCTATTTTGAACATTTGATCTCCAAAATTATAATATAATAACTTTGTATTCTATTAAGTCACTAATTTTTTGTTTTTGAGATGGAGTCTCTCTGTGTTGCCCAGCCTTGAGTACAGTGGTGTGACTGCGGCTTACTGCAACCTTGGCCTCCCAGGTTCAAGCAATTCTCCTGCCTCAGCCTCCTGAGTAGCCAGGATTACATGGGCCTGCCACCACGGCCAGACTTTTATTGTTTATTTTTGTTTTTGTATTTTGGTAGAGACGGGGTTTCACCAAGTTGGCCAGTCTGGTGGTCTTGAATTCCTGACGTCAGATAATCCACCTGCTTCAGCATCCCAAAGTGCTGGGATTACAGGTGTGAGCCAGTGCACCTGGCCAGTGACTAAATTTTTGGTGATTTGTTACAGCAGCAGTAGAAAAATAAAACACAGCTCAATTGAAATACTTTTGGAATGAATAAATGAACGAATGGTGTAGTGTAGTGATGGTCAAGCTATTCCAGATGAGGAAAGTGAACTGCCTCTGCCAGAAGTCTGGGTCCCCACCCTTTATTTTAAGCGGAGCAGCTCAACCTTTTTCTGTTTTATTTGTTCATGCCTCTGAGTAAGATTCTGTTTAAACAAAGGTTTCCAAGGGCAAGAAGAAAAAAAAAATTAAAAACACATGCTTGTGGAAACCATGGGCAGAACATGGATCCAGAAAATCCCTCAGTCCCTTACCATGTGACTTAAACAAGTCAGCTAGTTCCACTCATCCATTTATCAGCCTATAAAATGAGAGTAAAAATAATTTTTGCCTTACCCACCTCTTGAGCTAGTAGTGAGAATCAAATGAGAAACTATTAAAATTCTGGGTGCTGTGCAATTATTTGTTGTGTGGCTTGTGGGCTTTGCTTTGGCTAGGAAACCAGGGAGAGAAGTGCTTCAAAAATGTTTGAGTAAAACACTCTCAGAAAAGACTTTATAGAGTAAATCTTCATGAACAAAGAGTGTGACCTTTAGCACATGGATATTTTGACACTGACTTTGAGCTCACACACCTTTTTCGATTTATTTCTTAGTTCTCAATTTTGTTTAGAGTAGCTTCAGTTAATAGACAATTGACTTCCAATTAAATCAGGTGATCCAACATATCAACAAAATACTTATCTTTGTTTTCTCTTCCTCTTCTCCAACTTCTGGAAACTCCAAAGGTACAGGCTGCCTAAAAGTGTAGGCATGTGCACATAAGCTCACACACA